GTTCCCTGTACTTACAGGGTAAATACCACATTTGGGGGTTGTAAATTAAAGTGAAGCATTGTTCCTCCCTTGTTACCTGTAGTTAAAGGGTAAATACATTTGTTCCCCCCTTGTTCCCTTTAGTTTACAATGTAAAATCTTGAAGGCAGTAAAATAAATATACAAACACACAATATATTTCTTCTTTACTTTGTAACCTTTATTTTAATAAATAAGCATTTTAAAACACTTCTTCTTAATCAAACATTGTCTTGTCAATTATTGACTTTACTCATTCATTTTCTCTTCGGCTTTGTCCTTTTGTTAATCTGGGGTCGCCACAGTGGATTGAACCACCAACATATCCAGCATGTTTTACGCAGTGGATGCCCTTCCAACTGCAACCCATATCTGGGAAACATCCATACACACCCATTCACTACGGACAATTTAGTCTACCCAATTCACCTGTACCGCATGTCTTTGGACTGTGAGGGAAACCGGAGCACCCGGAGGAAACCCACGCGAACGCAGGAAGAACTCCACGCAGAAACGCCAACTGACCCAGCCGAGGCTCGAACCAGCAACCTTCTTGCTGTGAGGAAACAGCACTACCTACTGTGCCACTGTGTTGCCACCCAGCTGCAACCCATCACTGGGAAACATCCATACACACATACACTACGGACAATTTTTTGCTTACCCAATGTCACCACATATTTTTGGACTTGTGGGAGCACCCGGAGGAAACCCATGCTAACATGGGGAGAAAATGCTAACTCCACACAGAAATGCCAATTGACCCAGCCGAGGCTCCAACCAGCGACCTCCTTGCTGTGAGGCAATTGTGCTACCCACTGCCCCTGCCTATACTCAAACAGCAAAATAACACATTATTTCCTTCCCCCTTTTTTCTGGCATCTCTTGCTTAGCTTCCTCTTCTGCTCTTCTCAGCTTCCACTGAGGACTCTGATGGTGAGTGGCTGATGAAATCCCATGGGTCTTGCTGCTCTGCATTTATATAAAATATATGAACAGACATAAAGGCTTTTAGTAAGCTATAGACATGTTTATTTTGCTGTTTAATGTGTGTGTGGTGGTTGTCCAACAATTTCACACACTAAACATTTACAGATACCATATAGACACTATACATTACTATCTAGCAGAAGTACTATCATCATGTCATACAGGAGAATGTGATCATTTATAATGATAATCATTAAAGCGCGGGGGGGGGGGGAGGCTATGTGCAGGCATTACAGACTTTGAAGTAAAGATTATTTGCAGTTCAGTGTACATATTTAAATTCTGTGTTACTCATTAAATGGTAAGTAAATGTAACGTTTGGGTGAACTACCCCTAAGGTTAGTTTTTGATTAAGTACATGTCTTAAACCATCATTAGTCCTAAATAAATTGAAAGATAACATAATATGGTTGATGTACTGTTATGGACCCTTTTTACATTTCAGCGCAGTGAATGGTTGGATTTTCGGTTGGATTGAGACAGAGGTTAAGGTGATGGACTTGAAATCCGTTGGGGTCTCCCACACAGGTTCGATCCCTACCGACTACGTTGGTTGGCACTTCCACAATGTGGACTGTTCCTTTTGGCTCATTTCTCCTTAAAGGAAATACCTTCCTTCTCTGCATCTCACAAACAAGGCCATGTCCCTTTATGTCCAGACCATTGCAGTGTGAGCAAGTGTTGTGCCGTGATCGTATAGTTGTCAGTACTCTGCGTTGTGGCCGCAACAGCCCTTGTTTAAATCTGAGTCACAGCAGCTTGTTACTGCTAACTGTAAGTAATGCATGGGCTGCTTTTAACAACCTCAGGCCATTGAATGCATTCTCCCGCAATCTGTGCTGTGTCCAGTGTTGCCCAGGGCTGGACTGGGGCAAAAAATCGGCCCTGGCATTTTGGGCCAGAGCGGCCCACTAAATTAAATCAAAATGCTATCTATCTATGCACATCCAATATTTTTATCAACTCATATTCTATAAAACACAAAAGCCATATTTATGAAATAAATAAATAAACACAAACTTTAATCTCAATTTAATTTCTGTGTACTGTCCATAAAGATATTTGTTGAGTTCTAAAAAATACACTATTCATTCATTTATTTTTCTTCGTATTAGTCCCTTATTTATCAGGGGTTGCCGCAGTGGAATGAACTGCCAACTATTCCAGCATGTTTTATGCAGCAGATGCCTTTCCAGCCACAACCCAATATTGGAAATCACCCAAACACACTCATTCACACACACTCATACACTACAGCCAATTTAGCTTATTCAATACACTATTCACTCAGCCTATATTCAATAATAAACATAACAAAATCTGCCTGCTAATGCATGGGTAAATCTTCAAAGGGAACAGTGTTACATTTTAACCTCTTTCACCTCTTTCACCTCATCCTCATCTAAACAATGAAAACATAATATAAGTCAAATTTGTTTCATTTTGATATTATGATTAACAGACACAAAACAGCCTCGTGTAGCTGCATATTTATATGAGCATCATCTTCACTCTGCATATTTATAACAAAACAGGGCTAAAATATAACTGTCTCCTTTCATTTCCATTGAAAAGAATGATCTTTACCCTGTCTCTTTTGCAGAATATCAGTTTTAATAATAATGGCCATTATAACAGTATACGTACATTAAATTTAAACGATAAAGTTAAGCAATCAGTCAATGTGCAGAATCAGTGTATGTGGTTACATATATGAATATATTAGCTTATCTTTGCACTCAGCCAAAACAGTTAACTGAGAACAAGTGATTCAAAAGACATAAGAATTGTTAGATAGAGACAACAAGATGAATTCAATATCACGTTTAACAACTATAGTGAGATGAGATCATCCAGCAGATGAACTGTCTGGCATGCACTACACTCTCACCTGGGGTTTATGCTCGCCCGCTGAACTACTGGCTCTAGGCAGAGAGTGGGCATGTGTGTGGTCATGTGATTTGCACTTTTAGCCGTGTACTAGAATGAACTGAGAACTTTTCAGAACCGCTAAATGAAACGCTGGTGTATTTCCCGCGATTTCTCTGCGCCTCCCTTGCTTTTCTTCTCTCTGACTCTTGACTATTTTGACAAATACACACAGACGACGCACACTCACACGGAGTCCAAAATAGGAGTTTGTGATTGGGCCAGCCCAGCGTCAATACCGAAAAGAGCCAATGGGCTCCAGAGTGTCACATGGGCCGGCCCGGTCTGTCTGTCCGGGAAAAAAGCATCTCACTTTCAAAGAGTCACAGATCACAGCAGCGTCAATTAATAAGGCAGAAAAAACGATAGGCTGTTACGCCTTTTATGGGCCGATCAGATCATGAGACGATGATCAGCCCGGCCCAAAAAGTACGTTGGCCCACCGAGAAAGTGCCCGGTCTGCCAGATGGCCAGTCCGCCCCTGGTGTTGCCCACATCCAACTGAGAAAGTCAATGGCTATCCTGACGTGTAGTCGAGACCGAGAAGTTAAGGTTGTGGACTCAAAATCCATTGGGGTCTCCCCACCCAGGTTTGAACCCTGCCGACTATAGTACAACCAGTTGATTTTGCTTTTTCTCTCTGTGAGAGGACATGTGGCTTTCATGTCGTTTTGTTGCAGGCCAGGTGTTTAATCCCTCTTTGAGCAATTCAAGTCCATTCTGATGTTGTCTAGAGAAACATTCAAAAAATCGACACCACCATCTTGTATGGTTCAACGTTGAGGCGAAAATTGGGATTTGATTGTTTCCTCCAAGTCGCCTATTCTTTTTTTAGGCTCTCCATTTCTGGCACATTTTTTTCCCCATTCCATCTGCTGCTGGAAAGTTAATTTATACACGGCTCCTTTCAAGACTGATGCTAGCACAGTTCCAAAAGGCTCAACCAGAATGTGCTTTTGGACCGTGGCTTTGGTTACACCAAATGACTTCAAAGTCTTCCATGGTGCAGCTCAGCAGTGGCATGGCACAGTTCTGAAACGCCGTTTCCTGGAGGATACTGCTTCTGTTTTTTTAGAGGATGCAGGTCAGTGCTGCAGTGGTCCAACTCCACAAAGCAGTATATGTGTGCTGGCTTCTAAAGAGCCTGGATAGCTCAGTCGGTAGAGCATCACACTTTTAATCTGAGGGTCCAGGGTTCAAGTCCCTGTACGGGCGAAGGACTGTCTTGTTGTTACAGACTTTGTAATGCTTTAATATCACTTGGTGGCTGTCCATTGGGATGTGGCCCGACGCGAGAGCACAATGCTCTGAATTCAGATCAACCTTTTAATCTGAGGGTCCAGGATTCAGGTCCCTGTTTGGGCGAAGGACTGTCACAATGTCAGGAACCTCGTCATGCTTCAATATCACTTGGTGCCTGTCCGTTGGGGTGTGGCCCAATGCGAGAGCACATTGTTCTGATTTAGATCGTCAGCTTGTGAGAAACGAGGGCTCATGATGTTAGCTGAGTGTGTTAGATTAGAGAGTTGCGCTGTCTCTGCTTCCCAGAGACTGTACGCAAAAGTTGCACAAGAGATAGTGCGGCTTGATCTACCCTTGTTGACCCCGTGTTTTGTTGGCACCTCAGCAGGGGAGAGGGAGGGGACATCTGTAGTCATAGCCGAGTGGTTAAGGCGATGGACTAGATTGGGGTTTCCCCGCGCAGGTTCGAATCCTGCCAACTATGCAATTTTGCAAGTCCACAATGCTGTTCTCTTTTCTTTCAATTCTCCTATACCTGAATGCAGTCCTCCTCTACATATCGTAAACAAGCCCCCATTTCTTAGTTATCAGGCAGCTGTGGCTGAGCGACAGTGGTTTGCCGTGATTGGAAAGTGATCAACACACTATGTTGTGGCCAGAGAAACCCTGGTTTGAATCCTGGTCACAGCAGCATGTACCTGTTAATGGAAAGCCATGCTGGGCTGATCTTTTGTCGCCATCGGCTGGATTTCTTACCCAACTTCTTATGTATCTAGTGTTGACCATATATGGCCATGAGAGCCACAAAGCTACAGCCAGGGGTAGTCGTGGCTGAGAGGTTAAGGCGATGGACTTGAAATCCGTTGGGGTATCTCCGCGCTGGTTCGAACCCTGCCGATTATGTTGATTGGCACTTCCACAATATGGACAGCTCATTTCTCCCCAACTGAAATACTGTCCTTCTCTGTATCTTGCAAACAAGCCAATGTCCCTTTGTGTCCTGGAAACTAAGGTGTGAGCCAGTGGTGTGCTGTGATCGTATAGTGTTAAGTACTCTGCGTTGTGGCCCCAGCAAGCCTAGTTCAAAACTGGGTCACTGTAGCTTGTTACTGCAAAAAGTAAGTAATGCATGGGCTGATTTTTACAACCTCAGGCCATTGACTGCATTCTCCCGTATTCTTTGATCGTATAGTGTTCAGTACTCTGCGTTGTGGCCCCAGCAAGCCTAGTTCAAAACTGGGTCACTGTAGCTTGTTACTGCAAAAAGTAAGTAATGCATGGGCTGATTTTTACAACCTCAGGCCATTGACTGCATTCTCCCGTATTCTGTGCTGTGTCCAGTGTTGCCCACATCTAACTAAGAAAGTCAATGGCTATCTCTAACGTGTAGTCGTGGCCGAGAGGTGAAGGTGATGCAAATGAAGCCCATTGGGGTCTCCCTACTCAGGTTCGAACCCTGCTGACTATAAAACAACCAGTCGATTTTGCTTTTTCTCTCTGTGAGAGGAATTGTGGCTTTCATGTCATTTTGTTGCAGGCCAGGGTGTTTAATCCCTCTTTGAGTAATTCATGTCCATTCTGATGTTGCCTAGAGAAACATTAAAAAAATCGACAGCACTATCTTGTATGGCTTCAACGTTGAGGAAAAAAAATTGGGATTTGATTGTTTCTTCCAAGTCGCCTATTCTTTTTTTAGGCTCTCCATTTGTGGCACATTTTTTCCCCATTCCATCTGCTGCTGGAAAGTTAATTTATGCACGGCTCCTTTCAAGACTGATGCTGATGCTAGCACTGATGCTGTTTGGACGGAGGACTGTCTCAATGTCAGGAACCTCGTCATGCTTCAATATCACTTGGTGCCTGTCCGTTGGGGTGTGGCCCAATGCGAGAGCACATTGCTCCGATTCAGATCGTCAGCTTGTGAGAAAAGATTGCTCATGACGTTAGCTAAGTGTGTTAGATTAGAGTTGCGCTGTCTCTGCTTCCCAGAGACTGTTCGCAAAAGTTGCACAAGAGATAGTGCGGCTTGATCTACGCTTGTTGACCCCGTGTTTTGTTGGCACCTCAGCAGGGGAGACAGAGGGGACATCTGCAGTCGTGGCCGAGTGGTTAAGGCGATGGACTAGAAATCCATTGGGGTTTCACCGCGCAGGTTCGAATCCTTCCGACTATGCAATTTTCCATGTCCACAATGCTGTTCTCTTTTCTTTCAATTCTCCTATACGTGAATGCAGTCCTCCTCTACATATTGTAAACAAGCCCCCATCTCTTAGTGATCAGGCAGCTGTGGGTGAGCGACAGTGGTTTACCGTGATTGAAAAGTGATCAGTACACTATGTTGTGGCCAGAGAAACCCCGGTTTGAATCCTGGTCACAGCAGCGTGTACATGTTAAGAGAAAGCCATGCTGGGCTGATCTTTTGTCGCTATCGGCTGGATTTCTTACCCAACTTCTTATGTATCTAGTGTTGATCATATACGGCCATGAGAGCCAAAAATCTACAGCCAGGTGTAGTCGTGGCCGAGAGGTTAAGGCGATGGACTTGAAAGCCATTGGGGTATCCCCGCGCAGGTTCGAACCCTGCCGACTACGTTGGTTGGCACTTCAGCAATGTGGACAGCTTCTTTTTGCTTATTTCTCCCCAACTGAAATACTGTCCTTCTCTGCATCTTGCAAACAAGCCAATGTCCCTTTGTGTCCTGGAAGCTAAAGTCTGAGCCAGTGGTGTGCTGTGATCGTATAGTGCTCAGTACTCTGCGTTGTGGCCCCAGCAAGCCTAGTTCGAATCCGGGTCACGTCAGCTTGCTACTGCCAACCGTAAGTAGTGCATGGACTCATTTTTACAACCTCAGGCCATTGACTGCATTCTCCCGTATTCAGTGCTGTGTCCAGTGTTGCCCACATCCAACTAAGAAAGTCAATGGCTAACTCTAACGTGTAGACGTGGCAGAGAGGTTAAGGTGATGCAAATGAAGCCCATTGGGGTCTCCCCACTCATGTTCGAGGCCTGCTGACTATAAAACAACCAGTTGCTTTTGCTTTATCTCTCTGTGAGAGGAATTGTGGCTTTCATGTCATTTTGTTGCAGGCCAGGGTGTTTAATCCCTCTTTGAGTAATTCAAGTCCATTCTGATGTTGCCTAGAGAAACGTTAAAAAAATCGACAGCACTATCTTGTATGGCTTCAACGTTGAGGCAAAAATTGGGATTTGATTGTTTCTTCCAAGTCGCCTATTCTTTTTTCAGGCTCTCCATTTGTGGCACATTTTTTCCCCATTCCATCTGCTGCTGGAAAGTTAATTTATGCACGGCTCCTTTCAAGACTGATGCTGATGCTAGCACTAATGCTGTTTGGGCGAAGGACTGTCTCAATGTCAGGAACCTCGTCATGCTTCAATATCACTTGGTGCCTGTCCGTTGGGGTGTGGCCCAATGCGAGAGCACATTGCTCCGATTCAGATCGTCAGCTTGTGAGTGAAGAGTGCTCATGAAGTTAGCTGAGTGTGTTAGATTAGAGTTGCGCTGTCTCTGCTTCCCAGAGACTGTACGCAAAAGTTGCACAAGAGATAGTGCGGCTTGATCTACGCTTGTTGACCCCGTGTTTTGTTGGCACCTCAGCAGGGGAGCCAGAGGGAACATCTGTAGTCGTGGCCGAGTGGTTAAGGCGATGGACTAGAAATCCATTGGGGTTTCCCCGCGCAGGTTCGAATCCTGCCGACTACGCAATTTTGCATGTCCACAATGCTGTTCTCTTTTCTTTCAATTCTCCTATACGTGAATGCAGTCCTCCTCTACATATCGTAAACAAGCCCCCGTCTCTTAGTGATCAGGCAGCTGTGGGTGAGCGACAGTGGTTTGCCGTGATCGAAAAGTGATCAGTACACTATGTTGTGCCCAGAGAAACCCCGGTTTGAATCCTGGTCACAGCAGCATGTACCTGTTAACGGAAAGCCATGCTGGGCTGATCTTTTGTCGCCATCGGCTGGATTTCTTACCCAACTTCTTATGTATCTAGTGTTGATCATATACCGCCATGAGAGCCAAAAAGCTACAGCCAGGTGTAGTCGTGGCCGAGAGGTTAAGGCGATGGACTTGAAATTCATTGGGGTATCCCCGCGCAGGTTCGAACCCTGCCATGTTGGTTGGCACTTCCACAATGTGGACAGCTCCTTTTTGCTTATTTCTCCCCAACTGAAATACCGTCCTTCTCTGCATCTTGCAAACAAGCCAATGTCCCTTTGTGTCCTGGAAGCCAAGGTGTGAGCCAGTGGTGTGCTGTGATCGTATAGTGATCAGTACTCTGCGTTGTGGCCCCAGCGTGCCTAGTTCGAATCCGGGACACGGCAGCTTGCTACTGCCAACTGTAAGTAATGCATGGGCTGCTTTTTACAACCTCAGGCCATTGACTGCATTCTCCAGTATACTGTGCTGTTTCCAGTGTTGCCCACATCCAACTAAGAAAGTCAATGGCTAACTCTAACGTGTAGTCGTGGCTGAGAGGTTAAGGTGATGCAAATGAAGCCCATTGGGGTCTCCCCACTCAGGTTCGAGGCCTGCCGACTATAAAAAAAACAGTTGCTTTTGCTTTATCTCTCTGTGAGAGGAATTGTGGCTTTCATGTCATTTTGTTGCAGGCCAGGGTGTTTAATCCCTCTTTGAGTAATTCAAGTCCATTCAGATGTTGCCTAGAGAAACATTAAAAAAATCGACAGCACTATCTTGTATGGCTTCAACGTTGAGGCAAAAATTGGGATTTGATTGTTTCTTCCAAGTCGCCTATTCTTTTTTTAGGCTCTCCATTTGTGGCACATTTTTTCCCCATTCCATCTGCTGCTGGAAAGTTAGTTTATGCACGGCTCCTTTCAAGACTGATGCTGATGCTAGCACTGATGCTGTTTGGACGGAGGACTGTCTCAATGTCAGGAACCTCGTCATGCTTCAATATCACTTGGTGCCTGTCCGTTGGGGTGTGGCCCAATGCGAGAGCACATTGCTCCGATTCAGATCGTCAGCTTGTGAGAGAAGAGTGCTCATGAAGTTAGCTGAGTGTGTTAGATTAGAGTTGCGCTGTCTCTGCTTCCCAGAGACTGTACGCAAAAGTTGCACAAGAGATAGTGCGGCTTGATCTACGCTTGTTGACCCCGTGTTTTGTTGGCACCTCAGCAGGGGAGACAGAGGGAACATCTGTAGTCGTGGCCGAGTGGTTAAGGCGATGGACTAGAAATCCATTGGGGTTTCCCCGCGCAGGTTCGAATCCTGCCGACTACGCAATTTTGCATGTCCACAATGCTGTTCTCTTTTCTTTCAATTCTCCTATACGTGAATGCAGTCCTCCTCTACATATCGTAAACAAGCCCCCGTCTCTTAGTGATCAGGCAGCTGTGGGTGAGCGAAAGTGGTTTGCCGTGATCGAAAAGTGATCAGTACACTATGTTGTGCCCAGAGAAACCCCGGTTTGAATCCTGGTCACAGCAGCATGTACCTGTTAACCGAAAGCCATGCTGGGCTGATCTTTTGTCGCCATCGGCTGGATTTCTTACCCAACTTCTTATGTATCTAGTGTTGATCATATACGGCCATGAGAGCCAAAATGCTACAGCCAGGTGTAGTCGTGGCCGAGAGGTTAAGGCGATGGACTTGAAATCCATTGGGGTATCCCCGCGCAGGTTCGAACCCTGCCGACTACGTTGGTTGGCACTTCCACAATGTGGACAGCTCCTTTTTGCTTATTTCTCCCCAACTGAAATACCGTTCTTCTCTGCATCTTGCAAACAAGCCAATGTCCCTTTGTGTCTTGGAAGCCAAGGTGTGAGCCAGTGGTGTGCTGTGATCGAATAGTGATCAGTACTCTGCGTTGTGGCCCCAGCATACCTAGTTCGAATCCGGGTCACGGCAGCTTGCTAC